TGCAAAAATCAACAAAATATTAACAAATTGAATCCAACACCAAATTAAAAGGATAATTACCATAACCAAATGATATTTATACAAGAACTCAAGGGTGGTTCAACATAAGAAACTAGATCAAGGAAATGCAAAAGGACAAAAAACTCAATCTCAATTGATGAAGAAAAGGAATTTCATAAAATCCAAAACCCATTCATGATAATAAAAAAAAACCTCAGAAAACTAGGGATAGTGCAATAATTCCTCTAGATGTTAAATGTTTTTTATGAAAAACCCACAGCTAACACCGTACTTCACAGTGAAAGACTGAAAACTTTTTCCTTAACAAAAGGACAAGGCAAGGAAGCCTATCTCACTGTTGCTGGTCACCATGGAACTGGAAGTTCTAGCCAGAGCTATTAGTCAAGAAAACCAAATAAAAGTCATCCAGATTGGAATGGAGGAAGTAAAACTACCTCTATTCACAGGGACCTGTTCCTATATATAGTAAACTCCAAAGAGTCCACAAGAAAGGTAGTGAGCAAAGAACTGTTGCAGGATATGTAATCAACACACCAATATCAGTTGTGTTCTTACACATCTGAAAGGAGCATCTGAAAGGAATATAAGAAAGTTATTCTGTTTAAAATAGCATTTAAAACAATGAAACACCTAAAATAAATTTAACCAAGGAGGTAAGAGACTTACACACTGAAAACTAAACACATGGCTGAAATAAATTGAAGAAAACCTAAATAAATGGAACTGTGTCTGGTGTTAATGGGTAGAAAGACTTCATTGTTAAGATGTCAGTCTATACAAAGAAACCTACAGGGGTGCCTGGGTGGCTCAGTTGGCTAAGCATCTGCCTTCGGCTCAGGTCATGATCTCAGGGTCCTGGGATCGAGCCCTGTGTCGGGCTCTCTGCTCAGCAGGGAATCTGCTTCTCTCTCTCCCTCTGTGCTCTCTCTCTCTCTCCCTCAAATAAGTAAATAAAATCTAAAAAAATAAAAGAAACCTAGAGATTCAATGCAATTCCTCTCAATATTATTTTTGTGCAAAAAGGGACAATGCCTTTTTTCCAGATACAGGAAAACTGATCCTCAGACTCATATGGAATTGCAGGGGGCCCCAATCAGTCCAAACAATTTTATACAGAATAAAATCAGAGGACATAGACTTTCTGAGTTCAGAGAGTGCAGTTTGGCAGTTTCTCAAAAGCTAAATATAGAACTACCATACAATCCAGCAATTCCACTCCTAGGTATATAGCCAAAGACTTCAAATCAGGAACACAAACAGGTACTTATATAACAATGCTTGTAGTAGTATTACTGACAATACCCTAAGTGTGGAAACACACACACACACACACACACACTGGATTATGTTTGAGCATAAAAAGGAATGTAGTTCTGAAACATACTAAAACATGGACAAACCTTGAAAACATTATGCTAAGTATAATAAGCCAGATGCAAAAGAACATGTATTTTATTATTCCTCTTATATGAAATATCTAGAGTAAGAAAAATCATAGAGATAGGACGTAGACTAGGTTCTGTGGCATTAGATCAAGTTATTGATAAATGGCTACAGATTTTCTGTTTGATTCATGATAGCTGTGGAAACAGACTCAATGTTTGCCTAATGCTATGAGTGTAGTTGTGCGACCAAACTGCACATGTAAAAATCATGAAAGTTGCACAGGGTGAAAGAAAGTGGTCCAGTTTTATTCATTTCCATGCGGCTGTCCAGTTTTCCCAACACCATTTGTTGAAGAGACTGTATTTTTCCCATTGTTTCTTTTTAAGTTTTTATTTAAATTCCAGTCAGATAACATACAGTGTATTATTAGTTTCAGGTGTACAATATAGTGATTCAACAATTCCATACATCACCTGGTGCTCATCACAACAAGTGCCCTCCTTAACCACATCACCTATTTAACCCGTCCTCCCACCCACCTCCCCTCTGGTAACCATCACTTTCTTCTCTGTAATTAAGAGTCTGTTTCTTGGTTTGCCTCTCTCTATCTCTATCTCTCTCTCTTTTAATCAATTTGTTCATCTGTTTGGTTTCTTAAATTCCACATATGAGTGAAATCATATGGTATTTGTCTTTCTCTGATTGACTGATTTTGCTGAGCATTATACTCTTTAGCTCCAACCATGTCATTGCAAATGGCAAGATTCCATTCTTTTTTCTGGTAAATAATATTCCATTCTATATATACACCACATTTTCTTTATCCATTCATCAATCAAAGGACATTTGGGCTATTTCCATAATTTGTCTATTGAGATAATGCTGCTATAAATACTGGGGTGCATGTAACCCTTTGAATTAGTGTTTTTGTATTTTTTGGTTAAATACCCAGTAGTGCAATTGCTGGGTCATAGGGTAGCTCTATTTTTACCTTTTTGAGAACTTCCATACTGTTTTCTACAGTGGCTGTACCAGTTTGCATTCCACCAACAGTGCAAGAGGGTTCCTTTTTCTCCACATTTTTGCCAACACCTGTTGTCTCTTGTGTTGTTGATTTTAGTCATTCTGACAGGTGTGAGGTGATATCTTATTGTAGTTTTGATTTGTATTTCCCTGATGATGAGTGATGGTGAGCATCTTTTCATGTGTCTGTTAGCCATCTAGGTGTCTTCTTTGGAAAAATGTCTGTTCATGTCTTCTGCCCATTTCTTAAATGGATTATTTGTGTTTTGGGTGTTGAGTTTGATAAGTTCTTTATAGATTTTGGATACTAACCCTTATTAGATATGTTGTTTGCAAATATGTTCTCCCATTCCATAAGTGGCCTTTTAGTTTTGTTGATGGTTTCCTTCACTGTGTATGGTGGAAGTCCTAGCCACAGCAATCAGACAACAAAAAGAAATAAAAGGCATTCAAATCAGCAAGGAAGAAGTAAAACTTTCACTATCTGCAGATGATGCAATATTCTATATAGAAAACCCAAAAGACTCTACCAACGTATGGAATGGGAGGATATATTTGCAAATGACATATCTGATAAAGGGTTAATATCTAAAATCTATAAAGAACTTATAAAACTCAACACCCAAAAAAATGAAAATCCAGTTAAGAAATGGGTGGAAGACATGAACAGACATTTTTCCAAAGAAGACATACAGATGGCCAACAGACACATGAAAAGATGCTCAACATCACCGATCATCAGGGAAATACAAATATCTTTATTGTTTTGGCATTTTACAATCAGGATTACTTTCTTAGTAGATATGATAGCTTCCTCACTGATCAGGATCAAAGGTCTAATGATCATTTCAAACCAATAAGATAATCACATTATAGATTATAAAACTGAGTATAGTTAATGCTGATGTTGCCCAGCACTGACACAGTTTACCAGTGACAAGTCTCAGGAATTATGGGAGTATGAAAGAACAGCTCCCCACAAACACACACCAGGTCATACATTTGGCTTGTCTCTGGAGTGCAATTCACATGGCCGTAACTGTGAGATCAGGCAGAATCAAATCTCTGCTATAACCACAGACTTATCTGATCCTCTCCCTGACCTGTCCAACTTCTCTCACTTCTCTTCTGACATTTCAGTATCAGTATAAGCCTTGTCTTGGGACAGCTTGTGAGGATCCCAACAAAAATACCAGGCTTAGGAATTGGAACTCATTTTTGAAACATCACAGATCTATTCAAAGAACAAATCAAGTTTCAACCCAAAATTAAGATGAACTTACCTGTTAAATTCTCTAGTCATTCTAGAAGAACTTGGTGATGCAAGAATCTGACATTCTGGCTCACCATATATTTTTGTCACTTTGACTCATTCTAGAAACCCCAGTCCATGCAAACGACACAGTCACAGAAGAGAAGGTGTTCTATTTATGAGTTTCCTCAAGGCTCCCTTCATGTCCCTGTTCTTCAAGCTGTAGATGAAGGGGTTCATCATTTGAGGGACAACAGTGTACATCATTGAAACCACTGCAGTGTTTCTGGAAGAGTTAGTAAGAGCAGAACTTATGTATACCCCCAAACCTGTCCCATAGAACAAAGACACAACTGACAGGTGAGACCCACAGGTGGAAAAAGCTTTATACTTCCCACCTGCTGATGGCATTCTCAAAACAGAGGGTACTATCTGAGTATAAGAGAAAATGATTCCACACAGAGGAATACCACCAAATATGCTAGTTGCAAAATATATCAGGATGTTATTGATGAGGGTGTCAAAACATGCAAGCTTGATGACCTGAACAACCTCACAGAAGAAGAGAGGGATTTCAAGGTTTGTGCAGAAGGTCAGCTGCAATACCATCAGACTGTGCATCAGGGCATCCACAATGATAATGAAGAGGGGGAGTAGAATCAAGAGGCCACAGAGGCGGGAGTTCATGATGACTGTGTACCTCAGTGGATGACAAATGGCCACATAGCGGTCATAGGCCATTACTGCAAGAAGACTACTTTCTAAACTTGCAAAAACCAGGATAAAGCAGATCTGGGTGAGGCAGCCTGTATAAGTGATGCTTTGATTCTGTGTTTGGATGTTCACCATCATCTCTGGGATGGTGGTTGTGCTTAAACAGATATCATTAATAGGTTGGAGAGAAAGAAGTACATGGGGGTGTGGAGGTGGGAGTCAGAGCTGACAGCCAGGATGATGAGCAAGTTTCCCAGGATGGTGGCCAGGTACATGGATAGGAACAGGATGAATAGGGGGAACTGCAGTTTTGGATCCTCTGTCACTCTCATGAGAAGGAAATCTGAAACATGTGTATCATTTCTGGATTCCATATTGTTGATGAATCTGATGGAAAAGATGGAGTCAATCAAATGTGTGTTTTCTAGACCAGGAGGAGGAGCATCACTAGAGGCAAAATCTATCTGGGGATGGGATGGAGACTAACGGAGAGGA